CCCCCGGAGTCGCCGCCGCGTGCCCCAGGTCCCCCCGGAGTCGCCGCCTCGTACCCCAGGTCCCCCCGGAGTCTCCGCCTCGTGCCCCAGGTCCCCCCGGAGTCTCCGCCTCGTACCCCAGGTCCTCCCAGGGTCCCTATCTTATATACGTGGCCCCGGACCCCTCCACATTCTCTGCTCCGTCTTCTTGTTTTGCAGGAGAGAAGCGGGTGACGGTTTTGGGGTGTCCTCCTGAGGAGAGTTCGGGGAGCAGCGTGGTTGTGTAGACATAGACGGTGGCGGTGTACAGAGGGGGACACGGATCCCATGTCAGGCTGTGGTGTAGACATAGACGGTGGCGGTGTACAGAGGGGGACACGGATCCCATGTCTGGCTGTGGTGTAGACATAGACGGTGGCGGTGTACAGAGGTTCCTCACGCGTGGCGCTCTTGTCTCCGCAGGCCGTGGCGCTGGGAACGCAGTTCATCAAGTTGGGAGGTTTGCTCCGAGGAGAGAGGACAATGAAGTACAACCGTCTGCTGGCCATAGAGGAGGAGCTTGCGCAGAGCGGGATGCTGGGTAAGAACTAGTCCTGGTCTGCACATGGGACCGCCAGCAATTAGAGTCCGCACAGCAGCCCCCAGTTGTAGATTCATTTTTCAATGTAGGATTTTCTACCAGTAGGCCCCTCCCCCTGAGAGCTGGCCCCGCCCATCATTCCCAGTGGCGGGGGACTTCTTACCTGAGGAATGATTTGGTGTTTTCTCTCCTCCAGACTCGTCCTCGGAGTTCCACTTCCCCATCATGTGGAGCGAGACGTGGGAGGAAGCCAGACCATCGCCATGACGCCTGCCCCTCCCCCCCCAGGGTATCACTGCCCCTCCCCCCGGGGTATCACTGCGTGTGCTGTACCGCACCATGGAACATGTCAGCATAATCCTTCATCACTAATACCGTTACATCGGATACAAGGACGCAGGAAGACGCACAACGCACCATTCCCGGCCCCCCAATGTAAGGAAATGTCTGATTGGCTGCCGGCTCCGAGATAATAAAAGT